CGAGGAGGGGGGTGAGTGCAGGTGAGAGGGCAGGGTGTGGTCCATGTGCTGATGAACGTGAGAGGTGGTGTGTGTGCACGCGAGAGTTTGAGTGCGAGGGGTGTGAGAATGCAGGTGAGCGGGAAAGGGGTGGCACGTGCACACAGGTGTATGTGTCACGGGTGGGACCTGTGCAGGCGTGGGGTGTGCTGGGTGGCTGTGGAGGCGCAGTGTGCCCTGTTCCCTTCCCTCAGCCCCGTCCCCCCAGCCGCCATGGAGATAAGCAACTCGCTGATGGAGCGCACGATCGCCGAGAACAGCCTGGTGATCCTGCTGCAGGGGCTGCGGGGCCGTGTCACCACGGTGGAGCTGCGTGACGAGAGCGCGGCCGCGGGGCTGGTCACCAACGTGGACGCCTTCATGAACGTGCGCCTGGCCGAGGTGACGCTGACGGACCGGCACGGCGCCGTGACCCGCCTGGACCAGCTCTTTGTCGCCGGCAGGAACGTGCGCTACGTGCACATCCCCGACGACGTGGACATCAGGGCCACCATCGAGGAGCAGCTCCAGGCCATCAACAGGGTGCGCTTCTTCGGGAGCCGCAACATGGGCCGCAGAGAGTTCCCTCGGGCCAAGGACAAGAGAGGGGGACGCGCGAGGATGGACTCACAGTGAACCTGCCCCTTCCATGGACTGCCACGCCAGACATCCCGCGCAGGGACATCCCCCCAGGGACTCAGGGCTCTGCTGCTCCCAGGGCTGGTGCCTGCGGAGGAGCAGGGACAGTTTTTGTAATGACTGAGCCCAAATAACCCTGTTTCAAAGGCTCCATGGCCTCTCTGTGCTCATGTCCCTCGTCTGATGTCCACTGGACCCTTTGGCCAGAGCTGCCATCCCGCTTCCACCCACCCCCAGCTCTGCCCTTCCTTGCCCGGGGTGCCCCAGCATGGGGGGTCCGCATTCAGGGGGTTCCAGCCCGGGGTGCCCCAGCATGGGGGTTCGGCATTCCGGGGGTGCCGGTCCGGGGTCTTCTGTGGGCGTGGCCGGCGCGCCAGGCCCCGCCCTTCCACCAATAAGTGCGTTCGAATCTCCCGCGTGCCAGCTGGGCCCTCGCGCCAATCAGCGGCGGGCTCCTCGCGCCGCAGCCAATCAGTCTTCGCTGCTGCCTTCCTTCTGTGTGAACCTCAACCAATCAGAGCCCTTCGCAAAGTCCCGGCCCGGCCCCCGCGCTCTGTCCAATCACAGCCCGGGTTTCCTCCGCCGGCCAATCAGCGCCGTGACTGCCCCGGCCTGGCGGCGGCCGGCAGGGCACGGGCTGGGCTGGGGGTGGCGTCACTTCCGGTGCCAGGCGGGCCCCGGAGCGGAGCGAGGCCGGGCCGGGCCGGGCCCGGGGCCATGGGTGAGTGGGAATGGGAACGGGAACGGGAACGGGAACAACGGGAATGGGAACGGGGCTGTGGGTGAGTGAGGGGAACGGGGACAACGGGAATGGGGCCATGGGTAAGAGAGGGGAACGGGGACAACGGGAACAGGAATGGGAGTGGGAACGGGAACAACAGGAATGGGGCCATGGGTGGGTGAACGACGGGAACAGGAACCTGCTCTAGGGGGCTGAAGCTGCTCCCCGCTGAGCTCCCCGGGGGCTGAGGGGTCTCCCGCACGCAGAGCCCGCTGCTGGTCCCTGCTGGTCCCTGCTCTCGCCTGTTCGGGCTCTCCCTGGTGGGGGAGCCGTGGGGTGCCCTGGCCTGGCTGTGGGGGGATGTCCTGCACTGGGGTTGGGGGTTCAGTGCTTTGTGGAGCCTTTGAGAGCTCGAGGTGTGGGTTTCACACACCCTGCTGAGTGCAGCTGTGCTGGGGTCACGCTGCATCCTTTGGCTGTGTCTCTGTGGTGTCCGTGCTGAGGGTTCAGTCATGGCACCGTGTCCCTCAAAAGCAGAGTTCAGCTGGGGTTGATCCTCGGGATGTCACAGAGTTGTGTCCGTGGAGCAGGCACCGAGCTGTGATTCGGCACAGCAAGGACAGGGAGCTGCTGGAGAAGTGCAGAGGAGGCACCGTGGTGATCAGGGGGCTGGAGCAGCTCTGCTGGAGGAAAGGCTGGGAGAGTTGGGAT